TTAAATGACAACACCCTGCAAACGGGGCCTTTTCCAGGGACCTGTGAGACAGGTGAAATAGTAACAATACTCTGGGGCTGAGACATTTTGAGGAGCTCCCAACTCAATATGCTCCCTCCTGTGGCTCCAGGACTGTTGGTTTCCGAGGCTACCATGATTGACGGATGCTGGTTTTCCAGACTATTGTGGAGCTGCAGAGAGTGGGGATGAAGTAGATTGAGTTACAATGCCACAAAACCTGTTCTTACCAAGGTTCAGATTGTTGCAAACTTTTGGTTAATTCCCAGAGTTCTGAAAAAGTTGATTTTGGCCCTTTTTTGCTGGTGCTTTTGCTGTTTTTATGGAGAAGTGGATTTATGGAGGTCCTCACTCCATCATTCTGGATGCCCTGTTTATTCACTTTTGAGGCAGATGTTAGAAGAGACAATATCCACATCCATGCCAAGTATTTAGTGGGAAATGTGATCAGCTGCAGAGAAAATGCCCCAACCAACAAGGGCAGCCACTATTCATCTCTGGTGATAACCTCCATACCAGAACAAGACCTACAGTTGCCAGGTCTTCCAAATAGAATCTGGAATTCCAGGATTTTGTGTAAAATATCCACGTTTTAAAATATTGACAACTTCAATAAAAAAATCAAAATATTGCAATTAAAATAACACACCTGTGCCAAAAGATTATGGGTTGAAACAGCAGAAGCCTATGGATCACATCACTACTAAGTCAATTTTTTTCTTACCGAATTACTTGAGTTCAATTCAACAAATCTTTTTAAGCATCTATTGAATGCCAGATAATGTGCTACATGCTGCACAGTTAAAATGAGACTGGCTCCTCCGTGTACACACTCCTCCCCCAGCCTTCGAGGCACTCATAGTCTAGCAGTGGAATTTTTTTTTAGTTACTACCCTGAATAAAGGGTATCTGTAGACAGAGTCACTGTTAGTTTTAATTAGCCCAAGGCAAAATATCCTGAGAGATTTTTTAAAAGGGTCATTGCACAGTCCCTCTGTTTAAGAAAGTGTGTGCATGCGCACACGAGCTCAGAGCACAAGGGCACACAGGGTGACTGCAGCTGCGGGTTGGGAAAGGGTTAGAAAGGGGTAGTTAGTTGCACAGATCCTTTTGAGGCATAGGGCCAGAGAGCTACCTTCTGATCTGAATAAAAAGCACTGGAGGCAGAATCCCATGGATGCTTCTTGGTTTATTCACTTTCATGAGAGAGCATATCCTCTAGTAGCTTCCTGAGAAAGAGTGCACGGGAGGCAAATTTGTGAGATCTTGCAATTCTAAAAATGTCTTCATGTTACCTTACACTTGACTGAGAGTGGGCAGGTGAGAAATCTATTTCTTCCAAAATCTTGAAGTAATTGCTTCAATGATGTCCAGCTTCCAGCATTGCTATTGAGACGCGTAATGCCATTCTTGATTCCTAATCCTTCTGTGTGACCAGCTTTTCTTTGCGAGTTCTCTTGGTCCTAGTGTTTCGAAATTACAAGATGGCATGCCTCAGTAGAAGTCCTATCTTCATGCATGGTGTCGAGTATCCTCGTGCCCTTTCATTCCATTTAATAGAAACTCATGTGTTTGATGATCTCCCCTCCACTTTCTCTGTTCTTTCTGGAGTTGTTATTACTTGGATATTGGACATCCTGGTCTGATCCTAGTTCTTTTCATTTCATTTCTTTTTGCTCTATTTTTTGGGTTATTTGCTTAGTTTCAGCTTCCAATTGCTGTATGGAATTTTTAATTTCCAAGAACATTTTTCTTGTTCTTTAAGAGTTCCTTTTCTGTAACATTCTATCCTTATTCTATAGATGCCTTATTTCTCTTCTCTCTGGAGATAATAGTTTTTTTTTTTTTTTGGAAGCCTCTTCTCCCTGTAGTCTCTGATGTTTCCAAGTTGTTGGCTTTGGGCTTTTCACTCATGCTAGAAGCTTTCATCAGACGGGGTTACCCTTGGTTAAGATGAAGACTAAAAGGATGACAGGGACTGCTGAGAGTCTCACCTTACTGCAGTGGTTCTCAAGCTTGGCTGAACACTAGAATCACCCGGGGAGCTTTAAAAACCACTGATGCTCTGGCAATACTCATTTTATTGGTGTAGAGTATGGGAATTTTGAAAAGCTCCCCAGGAGATTTTAATGCACAGCTAAGGTTGAAAAGTACCACCAAAGGATGCTCTGGCTGAATCACTTCATTGAAGATTTTTAGATCTTTCCTTCTGGCCCATGAGGCTCTTCAGGTAAGATTCTAATGTTCTCCCATATGCCTATGTTCACTGCATTCCATTTTTGAAATGGTACCTTCATTCTCAACTGTGGACAGTGTCTCCCAGTCCAGGGACTTTCTATTTTAATGTTCTCCTGAGGTTAAACTTCCAGGCTTCTGCAAAGGTGATGGAAGGACAAGTTGTTCAGCCGAAAAAAAATGGGGAGGGATTTTTGAGATCTAACTGCTGTTTAAACAGATTTCACACAATACAATTTCAGGCTCCTCTCCCCCTTTACCATCACTTTGAAGGAACACGCTGCTGTCAAGTTTTGAGTCACCAGGGTATTCTGCATTGAGAATTTAAAAATCAAATTGGTGCTATTTTTCCTCTGACAAATTAGAATGAAGCTTTATTTGGGTCAAGTTTCCAAAATTCTGGTGCAAAACTCTTTCCCATTCTTCCCAGTCTTGAGGGGAGTTGTGACTTAAAAAAAAAAATAACTGCAGTGAGCTATGATCATGTCACTACACTCCAGCTTGGGTGACAGAACGAGACCCCATCTCTTAAAAAAAAAATTCTTTACTATATTTGTAGTAGAGGGTCAGAAGCATGCAAAATTTGATGTGTGCTCATTTTGTCATCTTTACCCAGAAGAATGACTACCATTCTTGATACAAAAAAGTGAGCTTTGAGTTACACTTTTTCTACACATTTTCCCCCCAAAAATAAAAAAGACAGTAGGGATTTCTAGCAAAACAGTCTAACCATAATGATAAAACCATGGCCATGTTAGAAACACTAGGCTTCATTGCTGTTGTTGTTGTTGTTGAGACCCACAGGAAGGAAGAGGGATTGAAACTGAGTTTGTCATGGGACAGGAAGCACCCAGTGTGCCAGGTGAACAGAGGGAGATCTGCTCTTGAGTCTTGGTGTACAGATTAAATGTTAGGCAAAGAGGTACATTATCCACATAGCCTCTGGCAAAGCCTATACATCCACAATCATATTTTAGTTGGCCCACATGTGGGAACCTGGATTTTTAGCTTCTTTTGAAATATCTGCATATGTGATTGTGGCTGGCAGTCCTGCAAGACCTCAACCAGCAGGAGCTGAGCTGCAGCTGCCTCTATAGATGGCATCAGGCACTATGCCACCTGCCTGGCCTCTAAAGCCATTAGACTTTTCAACTTCTGGGGAATGTGGTTTAAGTACTTAAAAAGCAACAACAACAACAACAAAAGCAATCCTATTCATGGCAGAAAAACCCTACTTAAGTCAGAAAGAATTAAAACATTTATTGGGCATAAATATATTACATATACACTACAGATACAGTTAGGTATTACATATAGCATAGTATTTGCAAAATCTATACATTAAAATTGATATGGCAATTTTAATACAATGTATATGAAATAGTCTAAAATTTACAATACAGGAAAACATATGATTTTTTTTTTCTCCTAAAGTTGAAAAGCTTGGAATGTATGTCCAACAGTGAGGTAAAAACATTTTGTCTTTCAATTTAAAGAATTGTGCAAGGATAACAGTCAAACACATTCAGTTAGGGCACTTCTCAATTTTGACATGAATACTGAATTACTGTAGCCAACAAAACAAGGTTAGAAAATGCCAACATTTCAAGTTGATAAGAACAAGGCAGATACTATGAAAAAAAATCTTTTAAAAAAGTTTTCTTTTTAAACAATTTCTTTGAGGACAAAGGGCAGTCTGCTTCACATGACTGGAATTTCTTGTGCCAGGGGTGAGTCTGATACACAGAAAAAAGTTAGAGCATTGAAAGCCACTCACTCACTCCTACATATATAGCAAAAGGGCACAGGGATCAGGTTAATATAACACTTTATTTTATTGTTCATGTGTAATGGCAATATATATAGTTATATATCAATATCACATATACATATTTGTGATAGAAAACAGTGCCACAGAAAGTAATAATTTTTTGACTGAAGGGATCATAATGAAGACCAAACAATGGAGAGCAATAAAATAAAGTGCCGTCAGCTTGTATTTCATCATACACTTCAGCTTTCTGGTGGTTAAACAGATAGTATGAAAGTCTCAAAAAGATCAAATACTCATAGCAATTTTGGCTTAAAGTACTATTCTTTCTTAAAAATTCAACCAATTCAGAGAATTTCTTTATAGCAGCAGTTCTGAAGTGTTTCAAAAAAAAAAAGACTTTCCCCGCCCTGCAAAGAGGGTTTTGTACTCAGTTGAATTTTCATTGCTTAAAAAAATACCTTTGCCCCGAAACACCCGCATGAAACTGTCTCAGAAAATGCAGATGCAATGCCATAGTGGGTGTATCACACACTTAAATGCAGGGATGAGTTTTGGAAGGCCAGAACTTTGGCAAAAATATATTTCCTTGATGCCATCGGTTTGCAAGGCTAATTAAACTAATTATTATACTTAATAATAAAATACCAAAATGAAGGTGAACATGAGAATAAGGGAAAATAGATTTAGAAAGAAAAGGGACGTAGCTAGAAGACTGATAAATATCCATTAGAAGTGCTGAGATGAAAGAGGTAGTAATGTAAAACACCAAAGATAGACCAC